GGGAATTATTATTAAAGGTATCGACTAGGGTAGGGAAAGAGAAGGAGTTGGGTTGGCAGGACTGGCCGGGGAGAGAACCCAGTAATGGCCGACGCGGCGAGGGCTCCACGCCCATGCTAGCCGAATATGTGTGACAGGGACTCCGCCTCGGGCTGCTTCTTTACAAGGAAGGTACATTACAACCATACATATTATATATTAATATATTACAAGGGTTTGTCGCAAATTATCATATCGGTTCCACTTAAACGCCGTTTGTATATAATGTTACTTTAATAAATATATCATATATATTAACTACTTTTATTTCATGTTTCGTGCTTTTTAATAATCTTAACATAAATTAATTTATATCTTTTCTTGTCAACGATAGGAAGATGCTCAAATTTAACTTTTTACCCTTTTAGGATTTGAATTACGTCCAAGAATTATTTTTATTTTTATAACTTATATTTATTTGTGTCATAATGTTATAATTTTAATTGTTAAATATTTATTGCCTCATGAGCATGTGCAAAGGTTTATTTCTTTATGGCACGATGAATTATCACGCCGAGGTCTACAACAATATAACAGTTATTAAGAACATTAAGTTGATAATTATTATTCTCTCAATGGAAGCGCTATACTATACCGGTATCGTAGAAACCCAGTTGCTTTTCGTCGGCACAAATCCAATATGGGGTTGCTTGCATAAAGGCTTGCTAACCTCCTCATCCAACCGGAAGTTTACCGGCTTGTTTGTAACCGCTTAAAACCTTCACTAAATCAACGTTTGGACAATAAAAAAAAAATTACGTGTTGATTTCCTCTTGTGTGTTTACAATTATTTGTTTGCTTTTTTAATACTCAACTATATTAACTTTAATGATAAAAATGATAGCTTTAATTATTTTATTTTCATTACTGTTGTTTGATCAGGTCGTATTACATAAATATAAAAAATATTTTTATGTGGATTGAAGATCCATTGTATTGTATTTCGCTGATTTTTCCTAATTATCTTTGAGTCGACTGATTAAATTTTTTGATACAATAATTTAAAATCAATACAAATTTTAGTGTTTTAATAATCTTCAAACATTGTCGTTCGTAAAGACTGATCATCAGAATCTTCCCTGCAACAAAATTGACAATTAGTGTGGAAAACCGAATAATAAACAACTGTACGGATTTTTTATTTTATTTTAAAGATGTTAATATCAAGATCTAAAGATATTAAAGCATGAGTACTTTGTGAAAAAAGAAATTTTTGCTGGGTGTATTTTTACTTTAGGCACAATCTGTCCGTAATAATTTTCTTATTAAAGCCTCTGTTATTAAAGGAGGGTTTGAGGATTGTAATCTTTTTGACTATTTAACTGATAAATTTAAAGCGGCAGTACCATTAAGAAGATTATGAGAATGAAATATGGTATTTAACTTGTTGGAATGATAGATGAATCCACTAGGGAACGGAAACGAGGGCGCAATGCGGACCAGCGGTACGTGTACTAGCTAAGTACAGCAGCTGATAACAAACCTAAAAAAATAGTCATTCTCGAAGTGCATCTAAAGGAACATGTGACGTAAACGGGTTGATTATATTAATGTAATGGTTGTTTTGAAGAACGCTGTATGTCCATTTTTTCGATTTTTATCGCGAAATAACGGGATGGATGCCTACGTCAATTATAGCCTCTCTCCAAAAAAACAAAACATAAACAAACAATTGCTAGAGGTTCATAAAAAAGCCATCTGCACTAAACGTAAAATAGTATATTGTTATTATGAAAACAATCTAAAAATTTGTCCATATTGACATATATCGTGGCTAGAAGCAGATGTTCAATTTTCTAATTTTCATACCAAAAATTGGTTAGTTCTTAAATTTCTAATTTAATATCTGAGATTTGTCTGACAGAAGTTAAGAATGATTGTACCAACGTTTTCTACTGTAGTTTTCAATCTCAAATAAAAAATATACAAAGCTGGTTGTACGATTTTTCTAGAACTTGCATTAGTTTTTAACTATATTTTTGTTAAATGATTCAATAAAATATAACTAATTTACAAAGACTGTTTCTTACTTATCTACTTACAACTACTATTATTTACTTATAATCTTATAACATGAGACGTAGCAATAATCATAACTTTTAAATCGACCAGCCCCGCTTCTCTCTACAGGTAGAATGCTGTGGATTCACAACATTGGTGAAACTATTATTATTTTTGTCTAATACAGCTCTCATACTTGTAAATAGTTGCGAAAAGCAATTTTTTTAAATTATTGCAATTTAATCAAATGAGATAGGAAATTGAAAAAATAAGTCGATGTTACTGAGAAAATTAATTTTCGTCATTATTAACGATTTTATCTAAACAACTTGAGAGCTTCCTATTAAATGCACAATTAAATTACTGACTTTGAAGTAACAACAATTGCCTTGTTGAGAGCACTTGGGCGTTTGATATTATTTCTATGTCTCTACTCTTGGAATATTTTACACTTAGAGGCTACTTGGGATTGACGATCATGGTGAGGTATTAAAATGCCAAGTGGTTGTTGCCTTCGCACTAATTCTGATGAAAAATAAAATATTTTGATCGGGCTTTTGAAACTTTAAATTTTAAAAACTTTATATATCACTCTGAAATTAATACTACTTAAATTATTTTTTTAATATAATATTTAATTTAATAAGCTTATAATAAGTTATATTATTAATTCAATTATAAATTTTAATTTTAATTAATTAAAAATATAAATATGAGTCAATTTTTCTAATTTTTTTTTATAATTTTTGATTAGACGCGCCTTGTATAATATTAATTCTGTAGTAGTACTTTTGAAACTATAAGAGGCAGTTGCTAGGCATTCGATTTCCGATGTTTTTCCGCAACGAAAGTGTTTAAAAATGTTTACATCTGCCACTCTGTTATCATAAATGATATTAAAATTATTATTATTATAATTTTTTTTTTTTTTGTTAGAGAGTTGGTGTTCTTTGATTCTAAATGTGTTGTGTGAACTATCATTTAAAGTTTAGATATTATAAATAAAATATGTTGCTTAAACTAACATAAATTTAACATTCTATTTCTTTTCGTAATATTCGATTAATCGATGTTTACTAAAACATTGGTCCATCCATCAGGCTAAAGATGGATTCTACGAAGGAAAAAGAAAGTGCGGTTCTCTTGGACCAATCCATTCGTCAAGCCATTTTTTCACACCGTCATAAAAATGAAATGGCCAAAAGAGATTTTGGGGTTGACCGATAGAATAAACGGTAATAGAGCAGTATTTGGGGGAATTTCGATGTTCATTATTTATTATCCCGGTCGATTTTCTTTACATATTATTCGCTTCAGATGGTATTAAACATAATAAACCGGATTAAAAAAAATATTTTATCTTGTTTCTTTTGAGGTCCAGACTTCAATTTATTTTTCCTAGAATGTTTTGGAGAGCTCAGTTTAATGAGAATCCGATTGACCTTATCACAAAAGTATTTCTGTAAGTTAAGCGGGTTAAAAGAGGAATTAGCCGTAACAGCTGATTGTGGCGATAATCCAAGCGATGTGGATTCGATTCTCTTCAGTATCAGTTAATAGATATCTCTGGGAGATTCGCTCAAGTCAATAAATTAAATACATTAAGGATTATTTTGTTTTTTCATTTATGCAAGATATTTTATATTTGGAATCACAGTCCGAAATACATATTTGAATTGAATTATAATGACGCATAAGGAGTATTTTAAATATCCGCGCCATTTCAGGATATTCTAACTTAATAAGTAAATTAGGCTGTAGTGGTTTTCATCATGAAATTTTATTTGGTATGACGTTTCGTTTCGGCCAGGCATGCTATCATCAAGAAAATTCTTTATACAATTGTAAATCCGTTTAATATTTGGTCAATAATGGAGCTGCATCAGAGGCACAGTTTCTATTTTTACAAGAAGTGTTTTTCATTTCTGATGATAAAAGCAATGAGAAATTAATAACTCCCATTATCGACTTTTCTTACTTCCGATAAATTCCAAGAAGATTATGCCATATGATTATTAAATCAAATAAACTTTAATGATGATGCTGATCGCTGCAGGTTTATTTATGTATTAATTAAATAACACTTTCGCTCATTACGCTCATTACAATCGCCATTATTACTTCATAGAAAGTATTTTTTTTTCAATCCTGACTTATGCTTTTCTAGATCATGTTTTTGGAACGAATAATTATAAAAGGAAATTTTATAAAAGGAAATAATTATAAAAGAAAATTGGAGTGTTTATTAGACAGTATTTCTTCATAGAGCACTCATGTCAAGACAAGCAAACGCCTGTACCGCTTCACGTCTATAAATAAATACTTATTCCTAAAAAAAGTGAGTAGAATTGGCTTCTCGAGTACTGAGTCATAATTTTTTAATCTTTTCTACACGGATGCATTAGAAAATATGTGTGTTTAAGCGCTCACCTAATACTAACTTCTCAGATTTTAGTTTTCCCTGGCGAATGAAAACTACTACGAGACTGATAAGGAAGACAATGGCAACATAAATTGAAAATATAAGATGACAATACTGCCAGATAGTATTATTGTTTGTTTTAATTCAACCACCACTGGTCTATCCATGATTAACAGCCGTATGGTGCTAGTATAATTTTGAGGTGTTATTCGTTTTTTCCCCGCCAGATTTGATTCCTGTTCCATTGTACAATAGTAAGAAATGAGTCTTTATAATCCTACTTTGCTTAGTATCGGTTAGCATTAAGTAATTTTATGGATGATGGAGATGTGGCTTGTTGTCGTTCGTACGCATAATGTGCTTCATGTTTTAATGAGTTGAGGAATAGAAATAATTTGTTATCAGTTAATCGTATATAAATGCTCCTCTAAGCTTGTTCCCTGAAGGTAGACAGTGAGTGGAGGGTGGGATTGAGTTGGAGTAAATAATAATACTATCTGTCAGTGTTGTCCTCTTCTGCTTGATCCAATAATGACAAATGCACCAATCTATTCACAGCAGGATCCTCAGAGTGTTATCTCTGCTAAATGCAGTGGAGATTCGCTGGAGGATGTGTGGTATAGGGTTATTGTGGCAGTGGGTTATTGACTCGCGGCGCCTGGCCTGGTCGGGGGCTGCTTCCTTAACGGCCGTCGGGTTAAGCTGGTTTAGTCTACGTCCTCGTCACGGATCAACTGTCGACATGGCACTATCTTCCTCAGATTGTCTTTAAAATTTAGAAAATATCATAAAATAGTTTAAGTTACCAATATCATTAAATTTTGATAAAGTTGATCTCTAAAGTTTAAAGTCGGTCCACGGAAATTCGAGTGAGCATAGTGTTTCAGGTAGTTATTTTTGTTTTCTAAGAGGTGGTATAGAACAGTAGCTTTAACAGTAACCATAGAACAGACATTAGAGTTTGCCATTGTTAAAACTATTTAAAGAGTACTTTTGAACTGCTAAACACACCAACATTCCGTTTTAAAAAAAAGTCGTAAATGATTTGTGATTTTGAAGAGAAGAATGGTTGGGGTGATCAGTCAGAAATAAGAAGACAAAAATGAATGATAATAATACCGAAAATAAAAAAAATAAAATTAAAAATTAAAATTAAAAATTAAAATAAATAAATATTGTCATTTATTTTTGTCTTCTTATTTCTGACTGATCACCCCAACCATTCTTCTCTCCATTATTCACGACAGTCAACTATTTATCCACGATTTGTAATTTTTTTTTTATCACTCTTCAACTATATTACATTTACCCCACTTTTACAAACACTTCCTCGTTTAATAAGCTGTAAGTCCATGTTAATTAAGTTGAGATTTATTAGAAAAAAGTTTGAGATTCATGTTAAGTTGTGTAAAAAAATAAATTGATTTTCTATCCGTCATCTAAAAGTACCCGTGTTTTCATCAAACATAACTAGAATTAACTGTTGCAAAGCTTTAATTTCTTGTTTTCTCCGTGATATGGGATGTATTTTAATAAACATAATTGTCTAAAAACTCCTAATAAAATAATTATTTTTCCAAAAAAGGTTATATAAGGAGGTTATGAAATGACAAAATTAATTTCCTTAAAAAAATTAATTAAGTTTCTAGTTAATTAATTATTAATTAGTTTTCATGAAAATAATTGAAGCACTCAGTAGGTTTCTTTATTTTAAATGTAAATTTTAGTGAAAAACATTAAGTTTGTCACTAATAAATACACATAAATTCCTACGACGGAGATTTGTGAGAAAAACACGATTTCATAACCACCTTACATGAAAAATATTTTTAAAATCATTATAATTTTTTTTTTTTTTTATAAATAAAATGTGCTTTTAGGCAAATATGTTTATTACAATACGTCCCATATCACTGACAAAAAATAAAACCTTTGAAACAGTTAATTGTGCAACAGTTGTAATTTTTGCAGAAAACAGTGGTACTTTAAGCTGACTGGATAGGAAATCATATCATTTCTTTACAAAACTCGAGGTGAATCTCAAATTTTTTTGTAATAAACCTTAACTTAATCAATATGAACTTGAAGCTTACTAAAGAAAGAAGTTTTGTAAAAGTGGGATAAATGTAGTACAATTCAACGGTGATAAATAAAAAAAAATACAAATAATTTATGAATTTTTTTTTAAACGGAACTTAGCTTTGTTTAGCTGGTTAAAAGTCCTCTTTAAATAGTTTTAACAAAGACAAGCTCTACTTTCGTTTAAAGAAAATTTTGTCTAGTTTGCTATGCAGCAATGTTTAATTACTTAAATCAAATATTTTTTAAGTTGTCACTTCCTATTCAACAAAAAATTGAGACTGAGCTAAAAAATCACAAATTTTAAATTTCCTACTTTTCTGCTGGAAATTAGGCAATTGTTTATATGAACTTTTTTGTAGATCGTGATGTCTAATATCAATCTTTTAAATATTTCCCTCTACTTACGGGACACCCTGTATAGTGCGGTATGCCACTGTCATAAGTTGTCGGAAAACGTTGGAGCCTGTTGGTTAGTGCCAGAATCAATATTGGGGCTAAGTGGTATATCCAACGAGTCATGCTCTGCTCTATACCAATTATTTTAGCCCTCATGGTATTATTTACACCTAAATGATATTACTTAGAAATTTATGAACTCTATTTTCATGCATGCAAATTGTGGAGTATTTTGGTAAACCTTAATATTATTTATTTATTGCTGCCATAATTATGTTTTATTTCTAAATAAATATTAGTTCAGTCTAAAAAAGATTAAAAAAAAATATTATTTATTACTCTATCTGGGAATAATACTCCATGCTATAATGAGTAGAGAAACCATAATATTGTTATGATACTGTATTTCTAAGGATAGAATATATCTAAATATCTAAGATCCTTCTATAACCAAAATAAACGGTATTTTAGGAAGAAATGGGACATCATAACAATATCTCGAATCCATATCCGCTTGTAACATTCATCGTTTTCTCCTGTCTTGACTGCAGTTGCTTGGTGGATGGAGGGCTGTCTGCTAGGCTCAAGATGAGATTGTAGAGACTCCTTTTCCTCCTTGGTTTTTTCTTTTCCAAGTCCTCAATACCAAAAATCCTGCTTACGTTCCAGAACTCCTAATTATACGTCCGCCGTTCATATATTCACTCTCATATTGCCAGATCCTGACCTATTGACCTGTATATCCCATTCCATAAAACCAATTCCTTCAGCAAATCCTTTGCTATTAGTGTTGCCTCCTTTTGGAACTTCTTACCTATTTCTATATACATTCCTTTAAACAACTCCTATTCCACCAACTACTTCATTTTCAAACTTCTGCTACCACGTGAAAGTTACCTGTTTCTCTAATTACAATTGCTATTAACAGTTAATTGTCAAGTATGGTTCTGTATGTCTTCATACCACACTAAGATTTGTTGTTCATAATTTATGAACTCCGTTATTATTCTTAGGGGACTTCAGCCCAAGAATATAACTTTTTTTTTCATTTCATCTCAACTATTAATTTCATGCCTCCTCTTTAGAATATTATACATAAACATTTATAAAACCATTTTTCTGTTGCTCCTTGTGATAGAGAAACGTGGTTGCCTGAAGTTAAAGTACGAATAACCCCGTCAAATAATCGAAAAGAACATACCGCCGACTGTAGTGTATCCAAGCAAAGAATAGTGATTGTCAAGTTTTTCGTTTTTTTTTGTTTGCTCGAAGTTGCCCGTACGGACCAAAGATAACCCGGTTGCCGTTGTAGCATTAGAATAAAACTACTTCGAGTAATTTGAATTTGGGAAAAACTAGAGAATTTAGCAGGTTGTTTGATTTGATTTACGTGACATGTGTTCTAACTGAAGCTAACAACCCTACGGACATGTAAAGTTGTAGGGGTTGATTAGGGACCTTGGGTCAACAAGAATTTACTTGGGGTAGATCAGGACGTTAATGGAATCACCGGGCTGGACCCCCTGGTTCAGGGATGGGGTCCAGTTCGAGGGGGGAGGGAGGAGGGAGGAGGGAGGAGGCGTTTTTAAGTAGTCGAAGCTGACCGCTACAGAGCCGCCACATACAAGCCCTTTGGCCTCGGGGCAACTAGTGTGAGTCCGCCTGTCATTGAATTTCGGAACTCATCGTCTGTCAACTGGTATAGTATAGTATCTAGACCGTCTCAAGTTTATCTTCAGCGTCGGCAAGAACATTGCCTTCTATATCTGCATGGCCTCGTATCCACTTAAAATATATAGTTTTTGAAGTAGTCTATAAGATAATTAATGTTAGATGTAACATAATTGTTATTATCTCGTTTTCAACGAAAATATCCGTTTTGAGATTCACTGAGTCTAAATAACCAAGTCCCACGAAATTGTATGTGTGTATGTGAACAGCCTACCACAAAAACAAAAAGTCTTACGAAACTGAAATTATGTATTTAAGATAGGTAAGAGCCTGGAATGTTCAGCTCTTTTCGTAAAAATCGGCACACCGGAAATACAATTTCATATCATCTATTTTACACATGTTTAAAATTTACTCGAAAATTGCTCTAACGATTTTTATTAAATTCCGTATATCTAGGTATTACCAAATCGTCTTTAATAAAAGCTAGGTATTATTCTCATTGATGTCACATAACAGCGTTTCAATACTTAATGTTCGAAATTTCCTTCACTGAAGTTCCTTTAATTTGGCTTATTTTAAATAATTAACCATTCTCATAGTCAGTTATAATGAAAAATGGCTGAATACAAACTCTGAAAGAATTTGATAATTGACTAAAGGGGTAGAAAAGGAAAAATGATTTTTCTATGATAATTCTAACAGAAGTAACAAGAAGGTCGTAGTGAAAGCGAGGCATAAGATGAAATAGAGAAAGCGACCCGCTACCTAGTCCAGCCTGCTCTTTGATTTGATTGCCGGGTCAACCGTGGGGGCGGGGTAGCCGAGCAGATAGTCGGGCAACCTGATCATGATAAACTGAAGATAATGAGTTCGAATCGGTGCCGTGCCGGACCTTTTAACTCGGGCATAAACCGGAGAAAAATCCCGTTCAGGTTATAGGTGAGGTAGGGAAAAAAATAAAATAAAAATGAACGATCAAGCATCAATACATTAATGCAAGGAAAACGTTGAACAAGAGTTTGTATTATATAAGAAGGTATCTATGTTTTATATAAGTAAATCCTCAGCATTTTGTATAAATTTCTAAATTGAAAATAACTTTTATAATGTATGCAGTAGTTAAACTAACAATAAATATCTATAACAAGACTATTTACCTATTGATTTTATGGAGTTGAATCAGCCCAGATGGATTGGGTGGTGTAATGGATTTGCCGGAAGCTGATCCTTGGAGTGGTATAATGGAGCAGAACAATCCATCCGAGATCGTTCTCACACGGCGCTGGGCCGTTGTGCCTGTTGGATCGTTAGTATGTGGTCGCCTCGAGGTTCCATTACACAACTTTAGGAGACTGAGGCGTCCTCGGGGATAATGAAGTAATAGTTTTGAGCTTAAGGGGATTCTAAAATGTGTAAATGATATAGATTTTATAAAATCTTTTTATCAACCGATTACTTATCTATTATAGAGTTTTTAAATAATTATTATTGAACTATAAGTAATACAGACCTAAGAAAAATGATTTTGTTTTAAATTATGAATTTCTGTGAGGTGGAAATAATATTAGTCCTAAAAAGTTTCCTTAACTGGGCTGATTAATTTTAAACTTATTTTTTGTT